GGGCCCGGGCTGGATTCGAACCCGCCACTTTAGGTGTATGTGGCTGGCGCCTTAGCCACTTGAGCCACAGGAGCCGAGCCAGAAGTGATATTTAAAGATGAAAATCTGCATACTGTTTTGAAATTATAATACCCATATTACTACTAATAGTAAAACCTACTGAATGTCATTTGAAGTTTCTTGTGGATCTCTTTGTCCTCAGGGACACCTTATCCCATTAGGTATGTATAATTCAACATACTATGCTTTAAAGACATTCAAAATAATACTTTTTTTGGCTTGGCACCAGTAGTACAGTGGTTATGGCGCAGGCTGCATACACTGAGGGTGATGGGTTTGAACCCGCCCCGGGCCAGCTAAACAAGGACAACTGCAACAAAAAAAATAGCTGGGCATTGTGGTGGGTGCCTGTAGTTCCAGCTACTTGGGAGGCGGAGGCAAGAGAATCACCTAAGCCCAAGCGTTTGAGGTTGTTGTAGGCTATGACTCCACGGCATTCTACTGAGGGTGACATAGCAAACTCTGTCTCAAAAAAAAAAAAAACCCCAAAACTGGGTGGTGCCTGTGGTTCAAAGGAGTAGGGCGCCAGCCCCATATGCTGGAGGTGGTTGGTTCAAACCCAGCCCCGGCCAAAAACTGCAAAAAAACCCTTTTTTATGTGTCATTATGTCATCAATTTGATATATAGTTAGGTTCATTTATTTTATTTATTTTCAATTTTTAGGAATACTTTTAATTTTTATTTAATTTTGTTTTTTAAATAACATGAAATATTCCACGGTTCCTGTCTTAGCTTGGGCTACTCTAACAAAATACCACAGACTGCATGGTTTAAACAGCAGAAATATATTTTCTCACGGTTCTAGAGACTGGGAGGTATAAGAAGGTACTGGCCAATTCAATTCCCCAGTGAGGACTCTCTTCTTGATTTGCAGAAGGCTGCCTTCTTGCTGTGTTCTTACATAGTAGAGAATGAGCAAGTAAGCTCCTATCTTCCTCATCTTATAGGAAGTCCTAGTCCTTCACTCTCTTCATAGTAGAGAGAGAGCAAGTAAGCTCCTGTCTTCCTCATCTTATAGGAAGTCCTAG